TTCGGCTCCGTCTTAACGTTGCCGCTACACTCTATCTGTAGAGCAGCGGCGAACATGTTATCGCTCAGGAGGAGCCGAGTGAAACTTATTGAACTCTGGTACAATGACGGCCGTTCATAGGAGGAAACCGACTCCAAAGAGTTAAGGGAAGTCGCGGAGTCATCTGCGAGGAGATACCGGTGGATAGACTCCAATAGAGCATAATCGGAAACTGACATTTTTAATTATTTTCCGGTGAAGAAACTACTACTGTGGTAGGTGTTTGTGAAATACCGCTTCTGGCTATGGAATCAAAAGGGATACATAATGTAGTATTTATAAAGGCATTGTGGGTTCGGAGAGATCGAGGGAGTGTGTTATGTGATTGGGAGCGAGGAAAATTTTATGATATTTTCTTGACACTTTCCTTGTTTCTAATTAAGAAAGCTCAACATTTCTATTCACACGTGGTGGAATTGGGGTGTGAATTCTATAATAATGCAAGAGGTAAATACTATATTAGATATACACTTTATTCTTATACCATTAACCTACATTAAAAGAGTTATTCATCACGTTTATGTTAAAGTGCATGAATCCAGATAGATACGTATTAATTTATATGTACCGAAAATGAAAAATGTCTTATATACACATAAATATAGTAATTTTTTAATAAAATAATTGATATGTCTTTTAATTTAATATATATGTTATCACTTATCAATTCAATCATTAAAATACTATTAATTCTTTAAGTTTATAAAAGCTGAACTGGATTTACAACTTCTATGAACAATGAAGGGAATATTGAATGAAAGGAATACTATTATTGTGAAACTCAGTTCAATTTACAACTTTTATGAACAATGAATAATAGTATTCTCTTCATTCAAGTTTAGCAATTTTAACTTTTCAAATCCAGTTCAATTTACAACTTTTATGAACAATGAAGAAATCTTCTATGGCAGTCCAACCAAGCCTCATTCCAATATGTGATACTATCAATTCTTTTGTCTGTATAACTAGCTAGCTAGGCACATGAAAAGGGTCTTCAATTTAATCAATGAAACGCCAAAAATCTTACAGAAATTTGACTTCAATCTGGAGATGTGCCAAT